TGTATATATACTTACGAACGAACGCATATCACTAGTCAAGTAGGTATTCTTGTAACTAATTCTCGTGGTCAGCCGACTACCGAGTGGTTAAGTGAAATGTGCTTTCTGATGCCATACCAACCCAGTAGAGACCTTTTATATGTGGATCCCCTCTCGTACGAGAGAAAGAAAGGTCTAGGTGAAGGTAAGTCTCTCCGTGCTGATTTTGAGCGCAGGAGATCTCGTCGCATGTAAAGCTTTCAATGTGATAGTATCCTAGAGAAGCAGTAAACGCACAAAAGCCATAAAAAAGAACTGGAGCTTACGATTCCTTCATGCCAGGTAAAAGTCATTTTACTTGATTCTTATCGTCCATTGTTTTACATCGATCGTAGAAAAAAGGTTCTAATCTTCCTACGAGTGAATGACCGTCGAAACAAGGAAAAGGCTGATCCTTCGACTTCCTGATCTCGAAGAGATTCCGGCAACCGGAAATTTCGTCGTGCGACTTTAACAAAATTATTTCCTCGTCCCTTGTTTCATGTTAATTTAATTTCAAAAAGTAAAAAGAAAAGAAAAGTTAAGATTTGCACGAAATAGTATACTTATTTACATCGGGAAACATGATACAAAATATTTCTTTTTCGTAAAAAAACAATATACATACATACGTACAAGTATTTTAATTAAAGATTAGTTTTTTTCTTTTTTTTTTTTTTATTATTTTTTTTTTTTTTTTTTTTTTTATTATAGGAGAAACTCTTTTATCTTATATGATACGTGTTTTAGAGAGAGAAAAAACAAAGAGAAAAAAAAAAGAGAAAAAAGAACAAAATGTGATACTCCGTAAAACAAATTGAGATCCTTGATAATTAACGAGAGACCCGTAGTGGACATATGGTATAACACCTACTAAGTCAGTATGTATATATGTGGAAGGCACTTTAAACAGTCGACGAGTTCACTTCGTTCATCTTTCAAGCATGTAATTACGTCGAACATTCAGAAGATGGATGCATCCTGGTGACTTCCTAGAAGTGCATAAAATCAGCATTTATACGACCCACTTTATCTTACGCTATCGAATTTTTCAAGAGATCATTATATAAAGAAGAGATCGTCTTATTGATATATGAATTTTTATTATATTAATTTGACATATATTTTCATGTAATATCTATATTAATATATTATTAATATATTTAATATATCGATAATTATTAATATTATTAAATATATCGATATATCTATATTATCAGTCGAATATATACAAAGTAGATCGAAACAAAAGTTTTTAAATGATATTAAAAATCTCTCCTTTTCAAAATATTTTTAACTAATTTTTTTTTTTTTTCAAATCATAAAACTACGATTCTTGTTATATGGTTTTCTAACGTATAGAGAATAGATACAAAAGTTCTAGATAATAAGATAATTTCAAACATCATTATTTTTCGAGACATTTTAAGCTAACTTTTGTTTCAAAAAAAATAAACCACCATAAGCCTATAGAGTAATTGATTGTTTAAATCGTCTAAAAATATTTCGTCCATTTCTATTGATATTTGACATATTAATTTATATGATAATAATATTAGATCAATGAATATTATTAAATATATATTTCTTGATATTTCAATATTATCGTAATCAACATTTATATATATATATATATATATATATATATATATATGTATATATAAAATCAATATCAATAAAATTGTTTTATGAATCGGAAATGCTATCTCGACGATTCGTCTCATCGGGGAAAATGAATTTTCTCATATAGCGAACGTCGAACGGAATTGAAATAGAATCGTCGTAGATTATTGCCTAGAAAGTGTAATTGAATGCAAATTCGTTCGAACTAAGAATCATAACGATCGCGACCAGCCGCTTTTATTTCCCTCCGTAAGTCATTACGGTCATTTCCGGTTATCCATAATAAAGCGAATCCTAAAGTAAGGAGAAAGAGAGAAAGAGAGAAAGAGAAAGAGAAAAAGAGAGAAAGAGAGAGAGAGAGAGAGAGAGAGAGAGAGAGAGAGAAAGAGAGAGATCGTTCGAATTCGAACAGTCAACAATAGTTTTAGAATCTTCGTTCCCACGTTAAATGATAGATATCTCAAGTTACGTTATTGATTTAATCAATATGAAGTCGTAAAAAAAAAGGAATTGTAAAAAAAGCAAAAGAGAAAAAGAGAAAGAGAGAGAGAGAGAGAGAGAGAGAGAAAAACAAACAAACGATGGACACTAGCGGAAAGAAACATTTCAGTTACACGTTTGCTTGATTAATGAACGCTATTAAAAAGTCTATGTGCGAGAGATATACGAGACGTTGTGTTGTGTTAAGGAGAGAAAAAGAAAAAAGAAAAAAAGAAAAAAGAAAGAAAAAAAATAAAAAAAAGAACTCATCTCCGAGTAAAAAATTGACGATGCATGCATGTATATATGTATGTATATATGTATTTGGTCGTATGAAAGGTAAGGTAAAAGGATTCGCTTTTATACTAGTCGCATTCTTTGCTCTCGCTGTCTTCTGAAAGTAGATTTCCGAGGTTGGAAAGTGAAGTGTACGGATGGTGAATAGAAAAACCTTCTGGTACTTGTTGAACTTTTTACTTTCGATATTAACATACAACCGAGGAGAGTCGAGGAAAAAAGAGGAAAAAAGACGAAGAATATGAGCGAGTATTAAGATAAAAGATGAGTCGAGAAAGGTGAATTTATATCCACAAAAGAAAATATAAAAGAATATAGAAAAGGGATATATAATGACTTAGATAATCAAAGTGAATCTACGCAGAAAGTATACACTTTTTTTTTCTTCTCTTTTCTTTTCTTTTTTGTTTTCTTTTTTTTTTTTTTTTTTTTTATTATCACCAATTATTATTACTCCTTCAATTCTCTTTAGTTCGAACTTAACAACATCGGAACCATCTGAAAACAAGCGATTCATTTCGTTTTACTTTCACCCGAATGGATGAAGGAAGCAAATCGTTTGCTCGTGCTGAATCTCGAATCCGCGCACCACTTTTACGATCTCCACGAATCTCCCTGTAGATCAATGATCGATGACCGATCGATTCCGTGCTCCGATTTCGATCGCCGTTAACACGAAACAAGAGAAACCGTACTCTTTGTTGGAGTTAGTTCGATCTTAGAAAAATCTAAGAAACTAGTAGGATTCTTAGGACGAGTTTCGAAAAAAGAAAAAAGAAAAGGGAAAAAAAGAAGAAAGAAGAAAAAAGAAAAACAAAAAGAAAAAAAAGAAAAGAGGAATCGGCGTCGATGGAAATTGTTACATCGAACTGGTTTATATTGTTGAAACAGTAAAAGTATCTACGTACACATGAGTAAAGGGAAAAAGTAAAAAAAGAAGAAGAAGAAGAAGAAGAAAAAGAAGAAATAAAGAGAACCGGCCAGATATTCAGGTCACCACGGAAAGTGAGTTGAAGACGGGTTTTAATAAAAAAAAAAAAAAAATTAAAGAATATTACGATACGATATGAACTCGACCTTTAAACCTTTCGTATCTTGCAGTATAAGAAAAGAATAAAAAAAAAAAAGACAAAAAAAAGAAAAAAAACATAAATATATATATATATATCTTAGACCGTTATATGTAAAATCGTCTTAACGATTATCTAACGGTAATTTATCCAAAGTATATACACATATAATATATATATTTTATTAAAACTCGTGGCCTGAATAAATAAATGAAAATACGAAAGAATATATTAATAATTTTTATATATATATATATATAATAATTCTCAGAACACAATAGCCTTGCAATATTGATGATAGATTTATAAAATGATGACATGAACACGATAATATGTTTTCTTTATTATCCTGATCGGATAAATAGATCGTTCGGGGCATCTTCACTTACATGGAGTCACGCCGAAAGATTACGAAATCGATAACCAATCTTAGATACACCTGCCAATACCAATGGTTTATTATGTATGCTTGGGATAACTCAGTTAATCCGTCCGCGCATTGACCGTGGTTAGAATTATCGAACGACTTTCGAGGTCAGGATCGGGCTGCCGAGGCAACGTCGATCGTGCTGTCGATTGTACCGGTGATCACGGAGACGTCACGACTTCGGTGAGAGTTCTCTCTCGTATTGGTTCAACCGACCGGAAGTGGTCGCACTACATTTCCACGTTACGACTTTCCATCGGGCAAAGCAACGGCCCGTTTCAAACGATTATATATATATATATATATATTTGCACGCATGAACGTCTGACATGGTTGACGATCGTTTTGATTTAAAAACTTAAAAAAAAAAAAAAAGAAAAAAGAAAAAAGAAGAGGAAGAAAACAACTCCAATGCTATTTTTCTGTTTTTTTTTTTTTTTTTTTTTTTTTTTTCTTTTCAAACAAACATACGCAGAGACAAATATGGGAATTAATCGAACTAGTTTCTAACTGGTTCGTTAAACTTGTGTATCATAAAGTTTATGTATTTTTATGGAACGGTCGCATAATAGAATGCAACGTATATTTAGATATTATCTCTGATGATTGAATGAAGATGAAAAAGTAGAAGATAAAAAAAAATTGAGAATTAAAAAAAAATAAAGAAATGTTTATTTCAACAAATAAATAAAAAGCGAGAATATATATATATGTGTGTATATGTATGTATGTATGTATGTATGTATGTATGTATGTATGTATGTATGTATGTATGTATGTATATATGTATGTATGTACATGGCCTCGAACGTTAAAAAATATCATGAGAGTTATAAGAGAAGGAACACGAACGTCGTTCGAGAGTACGGAGGAAAGCGTATCGTATTTCGATACTACGAGCTGTCATCGATAACAATGTCATTGAAGAAGCTCTCTCATCGATGTTCTACTTAATAATTAATTAACTATAGTTCCATTCATTCATCTTATCTCTTTACTTCTTTTCATTAACGAGAAATGTACTCGAAGTCTTTTCCAAACTCTTACCGACTTTCTTTCTTCCATTCTATCAATCTTTCATTCCATTTTTTTTTTTTCTTTCATTCATTCATTCTTCCTTTCTTCCTTTCTTTCGTATTCGTGAGAGTGAACAAGTCACGACAACGTGGGAGAACGAGTCGCGTATCGTTCAAGATATATAGCACCATTTCATTTCCATATTTGAGCAGGTTTTGTAGAAACGTATGAGGGTGCATAACTCCAAGGATAGGTTGGCAATGTTGGTTTTTGTAATTGATAAGCTACATTTGAATAATAATAGACAGGATAGACAGACTTTATCGGTTTATATATCAAAGGATTGATAAGAGGCGTTTGTAGGCCATAAGTGGGATGTTGATTTGGTGTAGTACCTATCGATGGTTGAATGTGTGTTGGAGTTGCTGGAAGAACAGGATGAATGGGTGTAGCAACAGGATGCAAAGGAGAAATTGGATGTGCAGGTTGTTGAACGGGCGTTGAACTGACAACTCCAGGTTGATTAGTTGACGGTGGTGGTATCTTTGGAGGTAGCTGAGGTGTCTGAGGTTGAATTCCTTTATTTCCTTGATCTGTTGGAATAGGTATTCCAAAGTGAGTAGACGATGATCCTGACGATTGTATCGGTGTCACTGTGCCTGGAGCATAAACTCCATAGCTAGGGACATTTGCTACGAAGGTTGGTACGAACCCGCCGTACAATGGGAATCCTATGGGATTTACGACCGCAGTTCCAGGTTGAGCAGGAACAGGCACGTTTACACCAATCTGCGTTGTACCATCGCCTTTGTTAGCCTGGATAGGACGTCCGGTTGAAGTTGCGATTGTCGTTGTCGTGCTGGTGCCCGGTGATTGAGTCGTCGTTGTTGTCAAACCATAACCTAAAGGAAATTTGATTGGACCGGTAGTTGTTCCTGGTAGAAAAGATAATTGATTGAAAGCTACGTTTCCTATACCATGTATTATCTTGTTTGTATTTATAGCTGGTTTACCTAACGGTGGAAATTCCGTACCAACAGAAGCCAAGAGATCCTGATTCTGAGGATAATTGCCATGACTTTGAGCGTATCTACCTTCAGTATTAGGAGATTGAACTTGGGATTGAGCTAAAGCTTGTTGCAGCTGCGCGATCAATCTATCTTTTTCTAATGATTGTATGTGCTCAAGTGTCTCTTGAGGATTCAATGTTCCCGAAGCGTAAGCAGGTAATGGTCCTCGAAAGATTTGAGGATTTGGTGAGATATTCTCGAAATGTTGAAATTGACCATTTGGATTTTGAATCTGATTATTTTGATCGACGAAATCGTTCGTATTTGGGGCGAAATCTTGATTGGTCGCTGGAGCACCATACAATTGTTGTAAGGCTTGTGCATTTTGTGTTAAAAATAGAGCAGCATCGGATATCTGACCTCCTTGCGATTGAACGATATCTTGATTTTGTAAATTAGAATTGTGACCTTCGACATGACTTTGCGATGTTGATACTGTATTTTGCGGAGAAAAGTTATCAGCTGGCGAATAAGCTGGCAATTTTTGATTTCTAGGTGGCAAATAATTAGCTGTATTTGAACCAAATGGTTCGTTGTTTTGACTGGCTATAGGACTAATTTCGGCAAAATCAAGATTTCTTATAGGACTTGGTATACCTTGATCCCATAAATGATTGCCATGATTTGGAAAATTATTGGAATGTTGATTATTCGGATGACGATTTTGAGAAGATTGAAATTTATCACGATGTTGTTGGCCATGTAAATTGGGTTTGGACAATCCCAAATTCTGATGATTCGGTGGACCATATTTGTTAAATGGCCTATTTATTTGACTTGGAATTCTCGTAAGGATTCTACCTCGATATCCCGATTGACCAGACTGAAATCTAGATCTTGTATTGGGTCTATTATACGAATATCCAGAATCTCTTTTTATTTGAACATCTGATTCCTTTGTATCGCTATCGGTTTCCGCTTCGCTCAATTCTACTACTTCTAATTTCGTAATATCAGAATTTTCTTCCGTATCTCCGGCATATATCAATGATGATAATCCAATGACAAGGAGACACGTTACCTAAAAAAATATTATAATAAGCAACGAGAGATTTAAACTAATATCGTAATAATATGACGTGTGATTTGAATTTCTAAAACTTCGTGAAAAAAAAAGAAAAAAAAAAAAAAAAAAGAAAAAGCTATACTTAGCTGACTCTTATTATAATAATACACATAATTCGCACATTACTTGCAAATCAATGAAGTTTACGGAAATATCCTCACCAAAGAGAATCGCATTTTCCACAATAGCATAATCCTTTCTAACACTCGACACACTGCACTATGAAATCTCCTGACTCTTCTTAAGGTCAAAGAAACGTAATTATCGGCTTATCGACATTTAATCGGTAGACAGTTGTCGGGAAATTAATTCTTATGAGGATATGAACAGACTCGCACCGACTAAAACTACAGCCATACCTGCACATGTATAAATACAGTCGGGTCGCGACCATTCACGAATTACAATAGACTTTCTTACTGGCTTTCATCGATTGAAACTTAAGCAATACTGTTACGGATTCATGATGTTACACATATCGATGTGGTATAGATTCGTCTTTTTATATGTAACTACCGAAATTTTTTTTATTTTCAAACGAACGATAGATAAAGCTTTTATGTGTTCGCATAAATTTTCTGATATTAAAAGAGAATCTCAAAAGATTTTTCCTCGTTATTCTCCCCATCCCTCCCCCTCAAAAAAAAAAAGATAAAGATAAAGAAAAAAGTTAGACGTAAATCGATGATAAACATAAAAATAGAGATTACAAAGTTGAACGTTAATAAGACAGAATGAAATCAAATCTCTTGTGAATGAAACTTTTACGTTTTCAACGTTCATTAATCTTCATACTTAAAGGATGTTACCTTAGTGATTTTTTAATCAAGAAAAAAAGAAATATATATACAGATATATGACATGAGCAAAAAAAAAAAATAACCTTCTCTCGACTTCCTGCGAAAAAATCGACTAATATATTCCATGGTCGTGTGCCATGAATTCGAAAAATTTCGGCTGATTCTCATCACGCGCGACTTTTCAGTGTCCCAGTGAAAGTACTCCTGGAGTCTCAAGTCTCGAAGAATACGGAATAAGTTCTCCATTCGTAGGAATTTATTCTTATTGTGTAACAAAAGATTACGCGTAAATCGGACGAACGACGAATATCGACTTTATTCGAACGTCTAAGAAAAATTCTACTGAAGTACTATCGAGTTCTTTGAAAATATTTACAAATGAATATTCTAACTTATTAATATACATCTACGCACTTATATTCACACACACACACACACACATATATATATATATATATATATGTACTGTAGTGTATATTAAAATTAAAATAATAATTAGGTTAGTCGTTAAGCACGCTCGAAACTTTCACCCTCTTTCTCTGAAAACGAGAACACGGTTTATATCGTATTACAATTTGAGTATTTTTTTATCGTTTGAACAAAAGCTTCTTTTGTTATGTCATCGTCATTTTAAGGATAGTATCGATGATTCCGATTGTAGCAATGCGATTTGAAATAATGTTTGTCTCATGATGTCAGAGAATTTCCGCTTGTATTATAGCTCGCGCTACGTTTATCTGGTGTTAAAGATAAATACTAACAGATACATGCCCAATGAACTCGTATCTCATTAATGCTACCACAGCCAGGAGCAATGAATATTATAAATTATTAATGCATAGAGGGGATATTCGTGTGATACGCGTTCCGTTAAAATCTTACAAATTAATATTGTCAAGAGTGTAGCGTGACATCATTCTTTACGATCTTTCTTTCGTTTCAAATATTTTCAAGATTTTTCTTTTTTCTTTTTTTTTTTTTTTTGTTTCTAATTCATAACTTTCTCTCGAGAACTTACTTTTTTAATCGATGAGATAAAAAGAAAGACGAAAAAAGAGAGAAAGAAAAAAATAATGAAAATGAAGATAAAAATGTAAAATTGAAACGAAAAACGATAGATCATAAAGATAATATAATTGCTTGAAATTTTTTCTTTTTTTTTTTTCTTTTTTTTTTTTTGTTTCGAACGAAGAAAAAAAAACGAATGTTTGCGATTAAATCGACATAGAACCGTTTGTATTTGAAATAAAATTAATTTACAATGGATAATCCAAATTTTGCGTATTTCTTAAAATTTCATTGTTACAATAATAAACGTTTACTCGCCAATTACATTAAGAAATCCAAAAGGATAAGAGAATAATATATATATATATACATACATACATACATACATACATACATACATATTTATAGCTTGCCTAAGTCGTGTTTCCCAAATTTCTTGAGATCACGGATGATCGTGCGTATTCATTTTAAGGGTGGAAACAATTTATAAGATGTAAGGGCTGCTGTAAACGTAAGGATAGGTACGGTAAGAATAGGCATAAGGGTAAGTATAACTCCGAGCATAAGCGTAGGGTGCGGAATAAGCAGTATAGGCAACTGGTGCTGTGTAAGCTGCGTTGTAGAAAAGACCTCTCTTATTTCGTAGCTCCGATTGTAAGTCAGCATTTTTTTCTATTTCAACGGGCTCGATCTTTTTCTCAGATTCGACTGATTGCAATAACGTCGGAGCAAGACCTCTCTTATTTCGTAGTTCCGATTGTAAATAAGCATTCTCTTCTGCTTCGATGGGCTCGATCTTCTTCTCGGTCTCGACTGGTTGCGATTGCGTCAGAGCAACAGCAAAGAGAGCCAAGAGGGTAATAGTCTGAGAGAAAAGGGAAAAAAGAAAAGAAAAATTTAAATTAACATATATGTAGCATATTTTCACTGGATAAATAAAAAGCGACATTTTTCCTTTTTTATTTGACGATGCAAACAGATAGGAAGATGATAGATAAAAGAAAAAAAAAAAAGAACAAGTATCTTATAGCATCGATCAATTACAAAAGATACATATATATATGTGTGTCTATTAGGTTTGTCATTAATTTAAATTTTGTCTGATTTTTAAATGAAAATAAAAATCATACAACGTTTCTATACGTCGTTTATTATATTCTCGATTGGTTTAAATAAATAATCTTCAATAAAGAGGAATCTACTTTAAAGAATAATAAAATGGTATAAAAAAAAATGTATGATATTTGTTTCATTTCACAAGAAAAAAAAAAAAAAAAAAAAAAAAAAAAAAGAAAGAAAAAAGAAAAAGATAGTTGAAAACTTTTGAAATCCTTTTTTGAACGTTATTAAATGATAATTCATCCTACGACGAAGAGAATATTTCGATAAAATTAATAACAAATTGATCATAATAATTAATATTGAAATTACTATGATAATAATATTTAAATATAGATATTATTTATAATTTAAATCACTCGATGTACATATGTATATTGATATGCCGTGATACTTACGGCGAAGAACTTCATGGTGTCTCACGTTGATGATTTTGGAATCGGCTGCTGTGATGTACAGGGACCGAATGATGCTCTTGCATTTTGGTGGATAGCTTTATATACCTCTTCGATCGGATCATCCTGTCCACGTCATTCGCGGATTGATCAATGCACGAGGACGTACGAAACGTTCGTGATGTGAGATGTGTGAGTGTCTATCGTAGCATAAGCTTGGTATGAGATATCGTATGGCACAAAGGTATTCTCTCTTTAAAACAGGGTTGTTAATCGTTGTGGTGGTGTTCTATTGTTTACGCTGATAAATCTATGGGCTAACGATACGTTAGTGTGTACCATTATTAACATGTACCCTTATTCTTCTTCTTCTTTTTTCTTCTTTATATACCCAAGAAAGGTATCATGGTGTTCTATCGACGCAATTCCATAGTCATCCCATGTACAAAAGCGTACATATGGTACATGCGTTGCGAGATACACACAGTTCAAAGGAGAGACCTTGGCGATCGGCCAAATAAAGAGGAAAGTGTTTTACAATAGCCACGTAATGCCGATCGTACGTACAAGAATTTTATCGTAATTCAAGTTCTCTGAACTCTACAAACGATAAACATTAGGTGATAAATATAAATGACACCTTCAAGAAATTATCTAATCGCATTTTGTCTATCATTTTTATACATATTTTTATAAAAGAAAGGATTGTTTTTGGTTTTTTTTCTTTTTTTTTTTTTTTAGTTTCTTTTTTCTTTTAATTTCAAAAAGATTAACAAACGGAAAGATTCAAAACGATCGCTCGATTATTTATCAATTTTATATATGTATATATTCTTCGAGAATTTTGTTAAAATCAATGAATAAATTAACTGGTTGCCTTATAAAATTATGCACTCGATATTTTTCGTCCTCCTGTTAAATATGTAAATTGAAAGGATTCTTTTATATATATTGATTAACTTCTTTTTAGAATATATTATATTCGTTCGAATATTATAATGTCAAGATTGTGGGATCAGTCTTGAGACAAGATTGGTATATAGATGAAACTATTTTAATAAATTGATCTTCAACCTATTTTTTATTTTTTTATTTTTTATATCCTTGCTATATCTGCTATAATCATAAAAAGGCCGAATTTTTTTCTTCTCACAGAATTTCATCAACAAATAAAATATTTTCAGACCAATTTAGATTCTTTTGTCATTTTAAATCGAGATTAATGAAATCATATATATACATATAAAGTTATTCATGTTATTTCAGCGAAAAAGTTTCTCATAAAAATTAATATCTAAATTCCACAAAGCTAAAATGTCGTTTTCGTATCCACTAAAAAAAAAACGAGTGAAAAAAAAGTGTATACAATGCTTATAAATAAAATTTTACGGACGATAGCTTAACTATTTTTTTTATTGAAAAATTTTGAAATTTTTAACATGTACTATATTAAATAATAAAAAGGTATATGTGTATATATATATATATATATATATATATATATATATATATAATTCTATATTAAATATATTTGATATTAAATATATTTGAAATTTTTATTTATTATATATTTCCAAAAGAACATTTTTTATAATATATTTTATTCCTTCTTTCAATTGTGAATTAAACGAATGCATTTTAATCATATTTAATACATCATAATAGTATATTTATAAAAATTTTGAATCCTTAGAATAAAATAATCTTCTTTTCAAGAATAAATCCGTAATGTAAATCTAAAAAACAAAAACATTTTTATTATTTTTTTTTTTTTTCTTTTAATTAAATCACACATCATAAAGTAATAATTGATATAATTCTATAAAATAATCAGTTAGAGCTAATAGAATTATCATGAAAAATTCATAATAAAATTAATTTCTCATCATACTTTGTTTGTTATATTATGTTAAAAAAAAAAATTCTTCATACACATAACTTACATTAAATATTTACTTCGGTACGTTTAACATTGATAGAAAAATTAAATTAATAATTATTCCTCCTGTAATAAATAAATAAATATGTTACAATAAACATCATGGATGTTTGAATATATTCATTCTATTATATAAAATTTTATTTTCAGCGGTAGTGACGAATAAATGCGTATCATTATTATTTCAAAATGCATTTACAAATTCTCATCATAAAATGGAATTTAATATAAAACTGATATAACATTTTTTTTTTATGAATTAAAAAATTAACTTCACAAATACTTACACAATATTATTATTATTATTATTATAATTATTTGTGAAGATACATGAAATGTTGATTAAACAATACTTCCATCGAGTGATCTGCAATAAAATTTTATGATTAATATTTTTCATAAAACACTTTTCATTTGTCCTAAAAATAAACATAATTTCAGATAGGAGCGAAAAACTAATATTATGGTCTTCAATGTATATCAGTTGAACTATGAGTTCATCATGAAAAAAAATAAAAAAAAATATGTTTTAATTCATAAAAAGAAGAAAAAAAAAATACTTACAAAAAGTATTAGTATTAAATTGCTAATGTAGCCAGACTTATTATCCACGATCATTCATAGACCCTTTAACAAAATATTTCATATTAATACATTACTCTTAACACATTGTTACTTATATTAATATAAACAACTTATATATCAGATAGGAGCGAAAGACATGAGCTTCATTAAGTCTCAGTTGAACTATGAAATCATCATGAAGATACAGACATTTAAAAAAAAAAATTTTAAATATAATAATTAAAATATAATAATTAAAATTTAAAAAATATATTAATAAAATATATATTGTAATACCTTTGTAATAACAATCTCTCTCAAACTTTCTTCAATTTTGCTTGTACAAAAATTCTGGGTACATCTATATTCTCTTTAAAATTTACGGTCCTTCTTTGTACATATTCACACATTGAAATTTCAAAACCAACAGATTTAAAAAGCTCAGATACTTCTTCTATTGAAAAATAATATGTTCTGTAAGATAAAATAATATTGTATAGTAAACTATATTTAATCCAATACAATGTTTAGAAATAGATTAATTAAAAAAAAAAAAAAAAAAAAAAAAGAAGTGAAGGGGGAAAAAAAAAGGGAAGAAAAAAAGGATCATTTACCTAGTTCCATCCTGACGCATATAAAAATTTTCTGCAATTTTATGACCCGGTTTGAATCTCAATTGAGCCATATCGTATAAACCATAATCACGAAAGAGCAATACTCCTTTGTTATCAAGTACGTTATAAATATTTCGTGCAACCCTATTATAATAAATATTAACGTTAATATTTAGAAAAGAATTTTTAATCATATGAAAATACATTAAATAACGTAACTTACATTTTATACTTTTGAGGATGTACAGATGATAGAACAAAAATCAATGTTGCCGCGTTAACAGGACAATCTATTTCAGAGAAACAATCATCCGTTGTAATGTCCGTTTGAAAAGCCTTCATTTTTTCCGAATCATACAACGAATGATTCTGCAAATAAAATATGATATTTAACAAGGGAAAAAAAAATATATATATATATATCAATGAATTTTCCTTATTTAAAAAATTCCTACCTTTGTCAATTCTACGGCATTTGTCGATAAATCACATGCGAATATCTTTTTAAATTTCAATCCATCTTCCAACAATGGATAAATCAAATTGCCAACCCCACAGCCGATCTCAAGAAGGACGTTTTCGTTCTCGGCCGAACCCAAACCCAACAATTCGTCGAATTCTCTGGTCGTCCAGTGACGATCTTTAAAAAATCTATTTGCATTACGTTTGTAAAAAAGATCCCAATGTTTTTTAGCTTCTCTCTCGAGTTGATTAGCACGAAATTCCGATACCATTCGAGTATTTTGGGCTTTCATCATATCGACTTCTTCTTGCGTTAAACTTTTAGCCACGTGGCCCATTAAAATAATTGATTTTGATTCAGTCATTCTCACTAAATTCGTCGTACCAACGATGAAATTTACAAAGCAACGAAATAATAATATTAAATACTTCATCGAACTTTCTATTGGATCTTTTTATTAACGTGAAACGAATCATTGATAACTGATTCAAGGATAAGGGGAGAAAAAAAGAGCAAAGAAAAAGGAGAAAATGAAAACAGTACCTCTCACCTTGACGCTCGAAAAGGAAATGAACGACCTCTTTGATACTGCTACGCTTCCTATGATGTCGCTAGTGTCGATAAATGTCGATGGTGCTGCCACTAATCGGTCAAACTCGAAACGCGCGTAATTTCAAATACACTTCAACGTGAATAACATCGTATTTGTTCATTTGAAAACATTAATCGAGAAAAATGATTACAAAATTAACAATGTTTATACGACGTTACGATCAAACAAACGAATAAATGCTTGTTATATCAAATTTCATATATATGACAAGAGAAAAAATTTTTAACATTAAAATAAAATTTATCTAGAAGAGAGAGAGAGAGAGAGAGAGAGAGAGAGAGAGAGAGAGAGAGAGAGAGAGAGAGAGAGAGAAATTTAATATCGAAGTATGATTATATTTTTTTATTTTTAATTCTTGTCCCTTTTTTTTCTTTTTTTTTTTTTTTGTTCGTACGTATAGGTACGAGAAATGTGATAGAGAAATTATTTTCAAAGGACTTTTTTTTTTCAACTAACGCGTAACAACTATCTCTCTTTTACGGACTTATAGAGGACATATAGGTAAGATGGTTACGCTCGTTAGTATGAATTCCGCGGGTGGACTTATTCGATGCTTTTTTAATATGCAGCTCCCGCACGAAACAAATATTTTCTTTCTCTATATAGTAGTCCTCACAATGACACAGTATTGAAAGGGGTTAGTCGTGACTAAAATTTCGTAGTTAAGTTTGTTACTGAGATTGCATATATATACGTGTATATATATATATATATATATATATATATATATACATATGTATAGATATATAAATATGATATATATATATATAAAGTTCAACAATATAAACGGGATAGGCAACACAGATTTAGGCCACGAGTAGTGCAAAATAAGTATGCAAATGTATTGCGCATTTCTTCCATAAGACTTGCGAGATTCTATTAAGATGACGTAATCCGTAAACTACTTCTATACTTTAGATTTCCCTCTTCCTCACTCTCTCTCTCTCTCTCTCTCTACTTCTGTTATATGAATAAATAAATATTTGCGGGCTGTAGATTTCTTGAAAAAATAAAAGAAAGAAAGAAAAAAAAGAAAAAAAAAAAAAAGAAAAAATCGTATAATTCGAAAATATAACAATTAATTCTAAGATTAAAATTCGCGAAAAACTTTGTTAAAACTCATGATTTGTTCTCGTCATTTCTTCGTCCTATCTTCGTTCAAGCACAGGATGGTCTAAGTACTGCGACAAGGTCGGTAAAAAATTAATCGCCAACCGAGTTAGTAGGTCATTGGAAATTGCGATTAGTTATGTCGAATCCTTGATGTTAAGCCAAGAGAACCGATTAATTGAACGAAATGAAAAAAGGAAAGAAG